CCTTTCTTGTTGTTTTAAAAATAAAAACAATAAGATTTTTATTTTTGATCCTGTATGTGTGGACTTAGAACGAAAAATTGCATACTAATATGTTCCAAAAGGTTCTAAAATTTGGTACAATTTGTGACGCTTGGTACACAATTATATTCACATTATCGACATTATTCACATTATCGACATCAGGGAATCTGTTGAAATTATATTTTCAATGATTAACAAAAGCGTGGATTTTTTAAACTATATTTTTTCAAGGCCCAAGAAAGGTTTGGATTTTTTAAAGAAAAAATTTTCCAAGTTAAATAATATTTTTTAAGGTCTGAAACAGGCGTGGATTTTTATACCCTACACAACTATGTTGTCAGGGTATTATAGCTTTGTGCAGCCCCAAGAGTTTGTAACGCCGCGAAATATTGGTCCTAGACCCACCTTTAAGTATACCGATCGTCATATCTCGACTAGCTGAGTCGATCTAGACATGTGTGTCCGTCCGTCTGTCCATTCTAATTTGTAAACACGATACAGGCCACAGTTATGGACCAATCTTCACGAAATTTTGCATGTAGGATGAGTTCTGGCCAATGAAGACCCCTATTGTTTTTGGTATAGATCGGTTAATATCTAGGGGATGAAGTGGACCAAATACTTAATTTTTATCGGTTTTTCGGGTCGCTCTAGAGGCCGCAATTATGACCCAAACATCGCGAATTTTTACATAGAGAAGAGGATCGGGCCAAAGAATAAGCATTCGGGTCAAATGGACCCTGACTTTTGTGTGAAAAATTACAAAATTTGTATTCTATAGCGTATAGATTTACCCCTGAAGGACATGGACCCGAAAAGTTGTTGATACATCCAATGGCAGTTGTTGACCTTTAACTCAGATGTGGGAGTTGCACTTAAATATTTTCAGGTGCTTATGTATTCAGATATTATTTAGTAACCTTTTACCACACTAGAGGCCGGAAATATAGCGCTGATCGCTTTAAAATGTTCCATGATGTTCCAGTTATGGTCAAGGATAACACCTACAATTTTCGGTGACGATCAGATAATTATATTGTGATGAAGTGGACCGAAAATTTATTTTTTGTGTTTTTTCGAGTCGATCTATAGGCTACAATGGGAATAAGAAGATCACAACACAAGAGAACGGAGTCTGGACAAGTAATTAGAAGGGCTGTACTGAATATTAGTAATTATTGTCGGTCTGTAGTTGGTCCAGATGGTTCAAAAATCGCGAAATATTGCCCAAGCTCAGAATATAGATCCACAGAGAGTTCGTTTTTCGTGGAAGTTGTGAAGGGTATCATATGGTCGGCCCCGTCCGACTATACTGCTCCGCTCACTGGTTTAAGAATGTTTTTGGCTCCAACAGGCGTGAATTATTTAAGATGAATTTTTACAAGGAATTCAACAGACGTGGACTATTGAAGACGAAATTTTCAAGGACTCCAACAGACGTGGATTTGTTAAAGAATATTTTTTTCAGCCATGGATTTTTTAAAGAATATTTTTTCAAACGTGGACTTGTTATAGAATATTTTTTCAGACATGGTTTTTTAAAGATTTTTTAAAATGTATTTTTTAAGGCCCAAGAAAGGCTTGAATTTTGATTTTTGATTTCTTAACAAAAGAATTATTTCTCAAGGATCTATAGATTCGAGGATTTTTTAAAATATAAAGGTGTGGATTATTCAAAGAAGCTTTGAAAAAGATGGCGGCTCCTTACCATTCGTTGACACAGCATTTCTCTTTCGTGATATCTGGTTAGTGATTATTGACAGTCTCCTTTGATTTTGGGTGGGTTATGCCTTCTCTTGCTGTCAGCATCTGTTTCTTTTTTGCGGTTTAGCATTCGTCTGCTCTTCCCGAGACCAAATCCTCTTCGTCACTTTCGAGATAGTGGAGGGACCGTCAGGTTTATCCTTCTGAGCATTGTCACTTCCGAGGAAGAGGAGAGACCGTCAGGTCTATCCTTCTAAGCATTGTATTTCTGTTAAATTTTGCTCCTTTGGTTCATTATGTTTTTTTTTGTCCTTGTGGTCCAGATAATTGCTTCATTCTTATAGGGAGTTTGACGATATTCTTGTTCACTTCTTGAATCTTGTGATCAGACTCAGAATTTGAGTTTCAGTTTACTCCAGTCTGAGAAGATTGGATCTTCACCTGCGTCCTTAAACTTTGTGCGCGGGGTCAAAAATTTATTCCATCGACATTAAGGACTTTGTTAATCGTAGTTTTTATAAAGAATATTTTTTTAAGGTTTAGCAATGTACGGACTTTTCAAAGAAAAATTGTTAAGAATTTAGAATAGCGTGGATTTTTTGAGTTTATTATAAAATAATGGATTTTTTGTAAAAACTAATATTTTTCTAGAATTAACCAGTGAGCGCAGCAGTATAGTCGGACGGCCATCCGATACCCTACACACATTTTCGTGATATTTGCACCCTCTTGCTCGATTAGAGGTAAACAGCACCTCTTCCTCACACTGACATATTGTCCGAATATTACGAGTATTCAGTACAGCTATTGTCCGGATTCCCTTCACCGTGGGTTGTGTTGTGATGTTCAGCTTTCATTTGTGGTCTATAGATCGACTCGAAAATAACACAAAAAATTAAGTTTTCGGTCCACTTCATTCCAAAATTATTATCTGATCATCATCGAAAATTATAGGCGTTGTCCTTGACTATACCTGGAACCTCATGGAACATTTCAAAGCGATCAGCGCTATAGTTCCGCTCTGTAGAGTGATAATGGGTTATTAAATAATATACGAATACGGAGATACCTGTAAATATTTAGGTGTAACTCCCACATCCGAGCACATACAACAATATAATTGGTCTTAATAAAAAGGTCAACCACTCCTCTTGGATATAATATCAACTTCTCGGGTCTATGTTCTTCAGTGGTAAATATATATGCTGTAGAATACAAATTTTGTAATTTTTCACACAAAAGTCAGGGTCCATTTGATCAGCTAAATATTGACCGATCTTTATCAAAACAGGCATGCTTATTCTATGGCCCGATCCCCCTTATTACATGGTAATAATTCGCGAAGTTTGGGCCATAATTGCGGCCTCTAGGGCGACCAGAAACCCCGACAAAAATTAAGTATTTGGTCCATTTCATACCCTAAATATTAACCGATTTTTATCAAAAACAATAGGGGTCTTCATAGGGCCGAACCCAACCTTCATGCCATAACTGTGGCCTGTATCGTGTTTACAAATTATAATGGACAGACGGACGGACACACATATCTAGATCGACTCAGCTAGTCGAGATATGACGATCGGTATACTTAAAGGTAGGTCTAGGACCAATATTTCGCGGCGTTACAAACTTTTAGGCCGCACAAAGCTATAATACCCTGACAACATAGTTGTGTAGGGTATAAAAATGAAATAAACAGAATCGTCTTTCAAGGTTTATAATTTTGTGTTTTTATTTTGAATGACTTTCTAAAGTTATGGTATAGTTTAAATTATTAATTATATTCTTTAAAATATATCTCTCAAGATATAAATTAAGGGGACCCCCCCCATTCTCGGGGTCAAAATTTTTTTTGATTTAATTCGATTCTACACTAATTCAAGAATGTCTCTAAAAAATTTCAAGTGGAAATCTCAAGAACTCTTGAAGATATAGCCGATTTATTGTGTCAGCATCAAGTGACGGCTAAAGGGCTTCTCAAACTTTAAACGCGTTTTTCTCTTTTACGAATGGCGATTTCAAATTTTTACACGTTTCTCTGTGAGTGTATAGCTATCGTATGAACTAGGATAAAGCCAATCGGTGAAGATCTTCCTTATTTTTTAACTTGGTTTTTGGTCAAAATTCGGCGATTTTTCAAAAATATTTTTTCAAAGGTCCGCCATTTTGTTAATTTTAGAGCGAAGTCCATAATCCTAGTTCATACGAGAGCCAGTCATGTACTCTTTCTAACAGTAATGTTCGGATTCCGATGATCCAGTGAGGAGTTATCATGCCCGCCATCAAAAATAAGGTCTTTTTTTGATCGCAAAAAACAACAACAAAATTTTTTTGTAAATTATTTTTCTTCTTTTTTTATATCTTCAAATATATATGTACAAAGTTACAAACCTTAACAAGCATTGGTATTGATTTACCAGCCCATTGAAAATCTTGAAAAATTAAAATCGAGAATGGGTGGGGTTCCCTTAAATGTTTTCCAGGTGTTTTAATTACAACTTGCCAGTTTTTGTCATTTCTTTACTAAAAATGTTTTTTAATTTGTTTAGTTTATTGGCATTGTTTATTTATTAAATCTATAGTCATTTTATTAAAAAAATACTGTATTTATAAATGTTCCTTTCTTAATATATATATTTTTTTCACAATACACCATGCCCTTGTAACTAATGAACAATTTTGTTTTCTTTCTTTTCTTGTCGCCCATCAAAAATAACCCATTTACGTGATGATTACCCCCAGTGAAATGTGATACAAGCCAATCAAGACGTGAGTGATTATGACGAGACAGAATGAATGGCCAAGACAAACAACAGCAGCATCATCAGCGTTAATAACAACAAACAATTAATGGCCCAATTCGAAATACTTAAAGGAAAAAAATAATTTTGAAAATTTCTACTGGCCTTTGATTTGATGGAAAGTTAAAAAACACACGGTTTTCTAAAAAAAAACGATTTAAAAAAGGAGGACACCCAAACAAGGTACGAGTTTATAAAACTTTCTTTAGTTGTATAGAAGATTTTATTGGAAAGTATTACAACAACTTAATTTATGTAAATACTAATATGCTGTTTTTTATCTTTATGAAAATATAAAAATTAGTTTTCATTATTAATATATATTTTTTTATTTATCAAGTCGTCTTCGATAGAATCCAGAACGAGAAAAAAAGAAAACTTTTTACTCTTTGTAAAAAAATTCGTTTCAATTCAATTTGAATACGAAAACCAAAGTCCATTTTGTTTATTATCATCAATCAAACACCACATTAACTATGGCATTTTCAATACAAACTCAATTACCAACACACAGATGGTTAATAACAATAACAGGTAAGTTGAAATTAATTTAATAATTTATTTAAGAATATCATCATCATACATTTTAAATACCAAAAATACTAACAACAACAACAAATCATTAACATGAATACACTTATACAACAACCACAACAATTTCGCTTTCATAATTGTCAGTTTCAATAAAAAAAACTTAACACAGACAGACAAACACGCGCATTATGGGCGGGCGTAAAAAAATTCATTTAATTATTTTGTATTTTTTTTCTTCCCCAACAACTATGAGCGGTATTGTTTCATTTCATTGCTATATTTTTTTTTAATAGCTTTGTGTTTTGGTTTTCTTTTAATAGACACAATTTAAAATAGAAAGGGGCACAGTATTTCGAAAATAAAAATTTGAAACATGAAATTCATAATTTGTTCACAAAAACTGAAACTAAAACCAGTAAGGAAGTAGTAAAGTCGGACTGGGCCGACTATATGATACCCTTCACCACGACAGACATCTCGTTTTTTGTTATATATCTATATCTGAACCGATTTCAGGGAAACTTGACATTGAATAATTTATATTACTTCAGTACGTTGTAGCTATGGATCTTTTCACGAAGCTTAGCAACATCATTCTAGACTTAATTCAGTACCCTATACCAAAATTCGTGCAAATGAAAAGATTTCCAGGGACGTTGGTGTACCATTTACCTAAAATCGGGCGAAACTATATATGGGAGCTATATCTAAATCTGGACCGATTTTCATGAAACTTTGCAGACATCATTCTAAACAAAATTCAGTACGCTTTGCCAAAATTTCATGCAAATCGAAAGATATATAGTTTCTTTGATGCACCTATTACCTTAAATCGGATGGAAATATATATGGGAGCTATATCTAAATCTGAACCGATTTTCATGAAACTTAACACACATCATTGTAGGCCTTATTCATTACGCTGTGCCAAATTTCCGACAAATTAAAAGATTTCCAGCGACTTTAGTGGACTATTTACCTAAAATCGGTCGAAGATATATGTGGGGCTATATCTAAATCTGAACCGATTTTCACGAAACTTTGCACACATCATTCTAGACCTAATTCATTACGCTATGTCAAATTTCGTGCAAATCGAAAGGTATATAGGAACATTGGTACACCATTTACCTAAAATCGGTCGAAGATATATATGGGAGCTATATCTAAATCTGAACCGATTTTCATGAAACTTAGCACACATCATTGTAGACCTTATTCATTACGCTGTGCCAAATTTCCGGCAAATCAAAAGATTTCCAGGGACTTTAGTGGTCTAGTTACCTAAAATCGGGCGAAACTATATATGGGAGCTATATCTAAATCTGAACCGATTTTCAGGAAACTTAACACACATCATTCTAGACTTAATTCATTACGCTATGCCAAATTTCGTGCAAATCGAAAGATATATAGGGACTTTGGTACACCATTTACCTAAAATCGGTCGAAGATATATATGGGAGCTATATCTAAATCTGAACCGATTTTCACGAAACTTAGCACATATTATTATAGACGCAATTCATTACGCTATGCCAAATTTCGTGCAAATCGAAAGATATATAGGGACTTTGGTACACCATTTACCTAAAATCGGTCGAACATATATATGGGAGCTATATCTAAATCTGAACCGATTTTCACTAAACTTAACACACATCATTGTAGACCTTATTCATTACGCTGTGCCAAATTTCCGGCAAATCGAAAGATTTCCAGCGACTTTAGTGGACTATTTACCTAAAATCGGGCGAAACTATATATGGGAGCTATATCTAAATCTGAACCGAAACTTTGCACACATCATTCTAGACTTAATTCATTACGCTATGCCAAATTTCGTGCAAATCGGAAGATATATAGGGACTTTGGTACACCATTTACCTAAAATCGGTCGGAGATATATATGGGAGCTATATCTAAATCTGAACCGATTTTCACGAAACTTAACACACATCATTCTAGACTTAATTCATTACGCTATGCCAAATTTCGTGCAAATCGGAAGATATGCAGGGACTTTGTTACACCATTTACTTAAAATCGGTCGCAGATATATGTGGGAGCTATATCTAAATCTGAACCGATTTTCACGAAACTTTGCACACATCATTCTAGACCTAATTCATTACGCTATGTCAAATTTCGTGCAAATCGAAAGGTATATAGGAACATTGGTACGCCATTTACCTAAAATCGGTCGAAGATATATATGGGAGCTATATCTAAATCTGAACCGATTTTCATGAAACTTAGCACACATCATTGTGGACCTTATTCACTACGCTGTGCCAAATTTCCGGCAAATCAAAAGATTTCCAGGTACTTTAGTGGTCTAGTTACCTAAAATCAGGCAAACTATATATGGGAACTATATCTAAATCTGAACCGATTTTCGCGAAACTTTGCACACATCATTCTACACTTAATTCAGTGCCCTATGTTAAATTTCGTGCAAATCGGAAGATATATAGGGACTTTGGTACACCATTTACCTTAAATCCGACGAATATATATGGGAGCTATATCTAAATCTGAACCGATTTTCACGAAACTTAACACACATCATTCTAGACTTAATTCATTACGCTATGCCAAATTTCGTGCAAATCGGAAGATATACAGGGACTTTGGTACACCATTTACCTAAAATCGGGCGAAACTGTATATGGGAGCTATATCCAAATCTGAACCGATTTTCATGAAACTTAACACACATCATTGTAGACCTTATTCATTACGCTGTGCCAAATTTTCGGCAAATCGAAAGATTTCCAGGAACTTTAGTGGACTATTTACCTAAAATCGGGCGAAACTATATATGGGAGCTATATCTAAATCTGAACCGATTTTCACGAAATTCTAGACTTAATTGAGTGCCCTATGCCAAATTTCATACAAATGGGAAGATATATAGGGACTTTGGTACACCATTTACCTTAAATCCGACGAATATATATATATATATATGGGAGCTATATCTAAATCCGAACCGATTTTTCTCAATTTCAATAGGGTTCGTCCTTGGACCAAACAAATGAGCTGAGCCAAATTTCATCCAATTCGGATCATAAATGCGACCTGTACTTTGTTTACAATTTAACATGGACAGACGGACGGACATGCATAAATCGACTCAGAAAGTGATTCTATGCATATTCTCTAAAGGAACCATGGGTCTATCTTGATTATTTTTCCCTTTTACAAACATATACACAAAGACATAATACCCTGTACCACAGCGTGGTGAAGGGTATAAAAATAATAATTCGCTTAACCCATTGAATTAAATTTAAAATTTTTTAACTAAAACAATTTGAAAATACTAGTTTCAAAATACTGTGCCTTTGTGTTTATTAAAAAAAAACAAAAAATCAAATAAAACAATCTTCGCCAATTCATAATCAAATAATCACATTTAAACCGCAATAAAACATCAAAGTGTAGGTGTTAAAACAAGTTTTTTTATTTTCGTCGTATTAAAATTATTAACAATTTTTTAATTACAAATTGTTTAGGTTTTTTATTAAAAAATTAAACTAACCTAATAAAGTGGGTATTTGTTTTTGTTTTAAAGCAAATAGTTTTTTTTTTTTTTTGTTTAAAAATAAATATCCTTTATTTTTTATTTAATTATTATCGTTTGTTTTTCATGTAACAAAAAATTGAAAATAAAATCTGACGTTCAATGGATTGGTTTTTTTCGAAATAACAAAATTTGAAAACAAAAAAAAAGTTTTGTGCGCCATTACCAAATTCATCAATGCGGACAATTGTTTTCCATGTAAGTCAATATCCTAACACCTCACCAAGAAATATTTGAGGTGTTTGCCGGATGATAGAGTTCCCAACAACAATAAAAAAATGAGATGAAATATACCAACACATTTTTTTGCAGACTCTATCAGGGAGAATAATTTTCAAGAGCCAAAAGCTTTGATATATTTTCAGAAAATATATTAAGAGAGGGTTAGTTTTTTTATATAAAATGATTTTAAGTGTTTAAGAGTTGTCTGAGCTTTAAACGATACATTATAAGAAATATTTAGAAACAGGATTAATATAAGCTTTAAGCATTGTTATTTTAAATAATAATTTCTGGAATTATTTGAGATTTAGGCGTAGCTTTTATTGGTTAGTTTTTTTAGAAATTTATTATGTTGTAGTGTGGATTGTTTGAGGAATATTTTTTGAATATTGCTGTCCTTGGCGAGACAAGTTTTTTAGTAATGATGTGAGATATTTTTTTGCTTATGGACCTACATCCAATTAGAATATATATGAGAGCTATATATGGGAGCTATATCTAAATCTGAACCGATTTTCATAAAATTTAACACACATCGTTCTAGACTTATTTCAGTACACTATGCCGAATTTCGTGCTAATCGAAAGATATATAGGGACTTTGGTGCACCATTTACATAAAATCGGACGAAATTATATATGGGAGCTACATCTAAATCTGAACCGATTTTCAGGAAACTCAAGACACATCATTGTAGACCTAAAGCAGTACGCTATGCCAAATTTCGTGCAAATCGAATGATATATAGGGACTTTGGTGCACTATTTACATAAAATCGGACGAAAATATATATGGGAACTATATCTAAATCTGAACTGATTTTCAAGAAATTGTACACACATCATTCTAGTCTCAATTCAGTACGTTATGCCAAATCTCGTGCAAATCGCAAAATATATAGGAACTTTGGTGCACTATTTACCTCAAATCGGACGAACATATATGTGGGAGCTGTATCTAAATCTGAACCGATTTTCATAAAATTTAACACACATCGTTCTAGACTTATTTCAGTACGCTGTGCCAAATTTAGTGCAAATCGAAAAATATATAGGGACTTTGGTGCTCCATTTACATAAAATCGGACCAACATATATATGGGAGCTATATCTAAATCTGAACCGATTTTCAGGAAACTTAACACACATCATCCTGGGCTCAATTCAGTACACCATACCAAATTTCGTGCAAATCAAAATTTATATAGGGACTTTGGCACACCATTTACATAAAATCGGTCGAAAATATATATGGGAAGTATATCTAAATCTGAACCGATTTTCAGGAAACTTAACACACATCATCCTGGGCTCAATTCAGTACACCATACCAAATTTCGTGGAAATCAAAATTTATATAAGGATTTTGGCACACCATTTACATAAAATCGGTCGAAAATATATATGGGAACTATATCTAAATCTAAACCGATTTTCAGGAAACTTAACACACATCATTCTAGACCTAATTCATTACGCTATGCCAAATTTCGTGCAAATCGAAATATATAGGGACTTTGGTACACCATTTTCATTAAATCGGACGATAATATATATGGGAGCTATATCTAAATCCGAACCGATTTTTTCCAATTTCAATAGGGTTCGTCCTTGGGCCAAATTAGTGAGCTGTGCCAAATTTCATCCAAATCGGATCATAAATGCGACCTGCACTTTGTTAACAAATTAACATGGACAGACAGACAGACGGACGGACGGACGGAAATGCATAAATCGATTTAGAAAGTGATTCTATGCATATTCTCAAAAGGAACCATGTGTCTATCTCGTTTCCTTTTGCCTGTTACAAACATATGCATAACGACATAATACCCTGTACCACAGTGTGATGAAGGGTATAAAAACATAATACCCTGTACCACAGTGTGATGAAGGGTATAGAAATGGGGTTATATGGGGACTACCCCCAAAAGGGAGCGAATATTAAAGATTTGTGAGAGGGAGATTTGTAACCAAATACGAATACAAAATACAAAATTACAGCGAATCCGGTTAACAAACATCAATAACCTCAAAATACCGAAAATTGGGGGATACCGTTATATGGAGCTACCAGAAAAAGTGGAAATTAAAGTCTTCCAAGAGAGCAGCTTTTTTCACATTTTTTTTTTTTTTTTGCAAAGAATTTATAAACAAACTATTTATTAGTGGGGAATGTACCGCATTGGTTGCCGAGGGGTAAGGTAAGTCTACACCTTTTTCAGATGTTATTCAAAACCTTTCAATTGCAATTCGAGAATTTCATTTGTAATTCGAAAACTCAATTTGCACTTCATAACATTTCACTTGTAATTCGAGTATGTAATTTGTAATTCACAACATTTCATTTGTAATTTTAAACTTTTCGTATGAAATTTAAAAAATTTCATTTGAAATTTAAAAACTTTCATTCGTAATTCGAATATTTCAATTTGTATTTCGTAGAGTTTCATTTGATATTCAAAGAAATCCATTTGAAATTCAATGAATCGAACTTGAAATTCATAACATTTCACTTGTAATTCATAAAATTTCAGTTGTAATTCATAACAATTCATTTCAAATTCATACATATTCCTTTTGTGTTACCAATAATATTTTTCGAATTTAAAATTAAATGTTATGAAAAACAAATGGAATGTTATGTATTTCAAAAAAAATTTATGGATTTCAAATGGAATTTTTTTAATTTCAAATGGAATTTTATCAATTTCAAGTGGATTTTTATGAATTTCAAACGCAAATACTTCGAATTTCAAATGAAAGTTTATGAATTTCAAATGGAATTCTATGAATTTCGAAAGGTATTCTAGGAATTACAAATGAAATTCTCGAATTACAGCTGATATGTTGTGAATTGCAAATGGAATTCTCGAATTGCAAATTATATGTTGTGAATTACAAATGGAATTCTCGAATTACATTTGATATGTTTTGAATAACATGTGAAAAAGGTGTATTCAAAAAATCGTTCATACCCAAATGTCTCTTGTAACAAAGCGAAGTACTTAGCTGACCAACGACATAAACTGAATGAGAATTTCGCTGGTGCCTCACTTCGAGGTTAACAATGCATTTTAAAAATCCTAGCCTACGAATATAAAATAATTTGTAATAATCCAAACCTTTAAATATATAACAATTTTTTTTTTAAATCCAAACATACAATTATAAAATAATTTGTAAAAATCCGAACCTACAAATATAAAATATTTTTTTTAAACATCCTCACTTTATAAAGAATCCTTTTTAAAGAATCTGCGCTTATTGATAGCCCTTAAAGTATATATTTTTTAAATTCCAAGATCATAGTCTTTAAAAATATATTATAAAGAATCCGTGCCTTGTTGATAGTCCTTAAAAAATTTCTTTTAAAGATACACGCCTTGTTGATTGTCTTTAAAAATATTTAAAAAAAAATTCACGCTGAAGAAAGCTCCCTGGGTTTCAATGATACTTGCCCCACGTTGGAAGCCAGTGAAGAAACTCGAAACAACAAGATTTACAATAATGTTGGCTACTTCTTGTTTAGGAACTACTTCTAGCTTATGATCTAGTCCATCAACTTGGGCAAGCGTGGGTAATGATCTTAAGCCTTCAGTGTTCGCTAAACGAATTAGAGCCGGGTGGTCCAGGACTCGAAGTGTAGCTGATTTTATTGAAATTAAATTGAGCTTAGGTACTACTTATGAGAAGCAAGATCCTCGTCTAGTATTGGTTGTATGATAAGGTATTAATATCAGTGATGTAGTTTTTGGTACTATTTACAAAATATTTACATAGTTAACCGTTAATTTCAAATGTTTAAAACATAGTTGCATTTTAGTATTTAAATGATCAATAAAACGTATGTGTTTATACTATAGTAATTAAAATATGAATATGACTAGAGTTGATCCGCTTCAACGCGTTTTTTTTTCAAAGAAAATGTTTTTTTTTTAAGATAGATTTATTGTATCTGGGAACTCAATCCAAAGGCAAATCCATAAAATAAAAAAACACTTTTAATTTATTTTGTAAATGCAAATTAACCCCTAGTTGTCTAACAAAAACTAAATTAAAAAAAACTACACTGCTAATTCTTTAATTTTCAATGTAAAAAATTGTCTATATTTTTCAGTTCAGTTCATCTGTTATTTCAATATAATTTTTTTTTTATATTTTTGGAAAAAGTAGTATAAATTGAAGAACAAAAATTAAATTGTTTTTGTACCCAAAACATTGGATTACATATATATTTATTTTTAATGTACAGAATATGGAATTGTTAATAATTTTTATTTGTGTGAAACAAAAAATAGGTTGAAACGTAGTAATATTTCATTTCCTTGTAATATAAAAGCTGACAAAGTAAAAAAATCCCTGTAGGAATTATTTTAAGTAATGAAAACATTTTCCCCATTAAATTTCAATATTTTTTCTGTCTACTCTCTTTCTCTATTTCTCATACAATCCATTACCCAAAACCCAACCGCTCTCTTGTAAACAATTTTGGTCATTGTATTGTTGTTCGTTTGTTTTTTTTCTCCTTCTTTTTCTTCTTCTTCTCCAACACTACTCTCTTTCTCTTGCAGCCTTATTTGGAGTTATATTATTCGCTTGGGTTCCACAAGTGTCAGCTGAATGTCAAAGTATGAATTTTATTGAAAATTTTTACTTAACCGATTTTTTTTAAGCTCATCCAAAAACACAATTTAATTGGAAACCAAATCAACAATTTAAAATTTTCATTATTTTATATAAGAACAAAAAACAACAACAACAAACAAAAAGCAACCCACTCTCTTTTTGTTAATTCATTTTTATATTAAAAACAAACTGATGTATTTTTTTACATGTATAACCAAAAACTAATTAAATAATTTAAATAGTTTTCAATTTTTTGATGTTCATAATATTAAAAAAAAAACAAAAATAATCTAAAACAGAGTTTGTGACAATAAGAAAAAAAAGAGCAAACCAAAAAAGAAGAAAAACAAAAAAAAAATACCAGAAAAACTCAATTGAATGAAATGTTTCTTAATTTGTTTTTCGATATGATTTGCAAAGCATTTTATAAATAACAATTTCAAAAAATATAATTATCATCAACTATATTTGCATTTTATAACTTTCAAAAAAAATCAACTTATACAGGTTTCAGCTTTGTAATTCCATTGTATTATAATATAAACAACCATATGTTTTCATTTCAATACCCTTCTTTTTATACTGCTTTCAATGACTATCTATCCCCCGTAACCCAACCCAAACCTATGTCTATTGTAGTTTATTTGAAGAAATAAAATATATTTTTTTATCATACATTTGTTTGCCTATTATAACCACATATTTCGTTCAGTGTAGAAATGTAGTTATTTTTAAGATTATGAAGATTTTTTAATGTTACAGATATTTTGCATTGTGGTTTCCAAACAAATATTTATTTTTTTATTATCTAAACTCGAGAAAATTCTATACCAATTTTGATCCATGTGAAGTAAAATATGCAACTAAAATTTGTAACAAATTATTAAAGTATGTTTACACATAGGCCCATTATCGTAATAATCATACATTTCGTGGTTTCAAAAGTAAAAGTAACAAGTGAAAAAGCGTTAAGTTCGGCCGGCCCGAATTGGATGCCCTCCACCATAGATGGAGAATGGTGGAGGTTATATATGACAGGTACTTGAAATGAAAATATAGGGAACGAAATATGACCTTTCTACAAACTGATTTCAGCAATTTTTAATGGATATTTATACCCTTAGCCTTATGGCTAATAAGGGCGTATACACTTTCATACAGTGAAAATGTGCCTCATCGAAATATTGGTTCAAGACCCACATTTCTTTGGACCATATCCGTTTCAAAAAATTTTGATTTCATCCAAACTTTGCCTATCTTATTATTTCTTCCAAACTTAGTTCAAGTTCGAAGATGGGGAATATCGGTCCACTCCTTCTGGTACGTCCAACGCAGGAGCTAGGCCTAGACCTAAATCCGGGTTATAATTCATATATAGTTCATTATCGAACCTTAAGTTCTAGTTTTTATCTCGATATTCTCGGCAGGTGAAATGATTACAACATAGTCTTAGAACCAAACTCAAAACGCGGAACAAATCAGATAACTATTTTAATATAAAAAGGGGGTTATATGGGGACTACGCCAAAAAGGGGGCGAATATTAAAAATTTTTGGTAGGGAGATTTGTTACCATATATGACTACAAAATACCAAACGAGCCCAAGAACCCCAAAATACCGAAAAATGGGGGTACCCTTATATGGGGCTACCCGAAAAAATTGACCTATATTCATAATTTTTTGTGGAGAGGTTTGGAACCTATTAGAAACTCAAAATATTAAATTACTGCCAATTCGGTGGAAAAATACGACCAAGACCCCCAAAACACTGAAAATTAAGAGGTACCGTTATATGGGGGCTACCAGAAAAAGTGGACCTATATTTATATTCTTTTTTTGGAGACATTTAGTGCCCAATAAGAACCCAATGTACTAAATTTCAGCGAATTCGGTTGAAAAACGCACTCAAGAACCCCAAAATACCGAAAATTGGGGGGTACTGCTATATGGGAGCTATGCCTAAACGTGGACCCCGATATATCCCATCTTAGAACTTGACCTGCCTGCAGACAAAAGACAGCCCTATGCAAAATTTCAGCACCCTATCTCAATTCCTTCAGAAGATAGAAGGGCGGACATGGCTAGATCGTCTTAGAATTTTACCCTGATCAAGAATATATAGGGTCTGAAATTAATATTTCGGAATACCAAAATTAATATACCCTCCATACTATGGTGGAGGGTATAAAAAACAGATACGAGAAATCGAAAAAGAGCGCGACCTATTCGGAAAAATGAATATGTAATTACATATCGTTTTGACACATTGAAATTTCCGTATGTTTCACTAGACGAGTTCGAGTTGAATGTGTAAATAAAATGAGAGCACATATGTAAATAACATATTGTGTAAAACACCTTTAATTTGGCATCAAGATCTATTTATAAGGTCACCGAGCGAGCGAAAGTCAGCTGTTTTCTTTCACAAGTGTAAAGTCAAAAATTTGAACTTTGTTTACGTTTTCACAATAATGGATTTTGACAGCAAACTTGAGAGGAAGCTGATATGAAGCTGGTCTCCCTGCAATCCAGAGATACGTAGTTGAGCACACAAGTCGACTTTTAGACTTTATGACATTTGCCTCTGACCAAAAAGTAGATTTTTAGTCGACTTTTCGATCTTTCGATATTGTCAAACCTATTCAAAATCAATTTTCGACTTTTACCGACTAATATAAAATCGACTGATTTTTTTATATGAATTTTTGTCAACAGATAAAGTATAGTTCTGAAATGTGCAATTTGAGCTTCGTGATAATAAACCAAGTGTTTATGAAGATAAACGAAAGTCGATCTTGAAAATTTAACTCTGCGATTTCTTCAAAGATCAAAAGTCGACTTCGACTTTTAGACTTTTCAATACTAAAAGTCGATTTACTTATCCCTATCCAGGGAGACCAGCTGGCTATCGGCCAGCAACCACTCAAATTTGCTGTCAAAATTCATTATTGTGAAAACATAAAAAAATGTTCAAATTTTTGACATTGAACTTGAGAAAAAACAGCTGTTTTCCGATTTCGATTGCTAACTGGGTGACCTTATTAATAGATCTTGCTTGCTATGAAATCATGGCACAATGAATAGGTAGTCAATTTAGCGCAGCTGATGTCTTGATTAATTGTCAAAGTGGGTAATTTCTACTTGAATTCGGTGTGCAGTGTTGCCAACCATTTGAAATATTATATGGAAATATTTGACAGATAATCGAGACAAAATCAACGGTTTTTGTTTTGATACATCACCTTATTATTGCATCATGCTTGGTATGAAATATCAAATTATATAGGAATATCAGAGTCAAACATAATTTTGGACGTCGTTCTCCTTTATTATTTTACTTTAAACAAGGTCAACTTAACATGCCATGCCTGAAAGCAAGCTTATGTGTTTCCCCCTTTAAAGGACAAAGCAGAATGGTCGCGTTGAGCGTTTTATTATTATTATATTGTTATCGCGTTAACGCACGCAAAAAGTTAAAATATATTTAATCAACATCAACTTCATGTGTTAGTGTCGTTTCCTTGTGGTTGTTGTATTTTCGATAACACATAACGCGACGGATGGCTCAACGCGAACATTCTGTTTAGCCCTTTAGTTTGGCAGATGCCAAATTCCAGTCCCATTCTTTTGAAAGCACAAAATGGATAAGTCTTTATATCATGATAATAGTCGTATGTGGAAACATCATATTTGTTCAATATCTCTTGATATTGAATTAATTTTTTATAGTAAATTGTCAATTTTATTAATTGACAATTCCATTTGTCAAAGAAATCCTCACAGAGGTGATTACCCCGCTAAAATGTTCTACAAATGCCGTTTAATATATTTTATTTTTATAGATTTTTCTTGTATAAATTGTTTATACACAGTATATTAAAGCATGTAGACCAGCACAAGGCATGCTTTGTTTTATATATTTTATTTTTTGATATACACTGATTATAGGTCTTTAAAATTTAAAATATGCTCTGTGTATGGGGTGATATTTTTTGCAGTCTCCAGTTTTATTTAATTTATAGTACATTTAATCTTGAGAGATTTACGAATCTAAACATGGTATTGTCTAACCCATAACTAAAACGCTTAAAAAATTCTAAAAGTAGATTATATAAAAATTAAAAAATACAACTCTACATTGAATTATGTAAATTATTTAAAAGCACGAAATTCCTATAACAAAATGTGATATAGCCTCCATTATAACCCCAAACAAATTTTATAATTTCGTAAAGTTTGGTATGAATTTCGGCTGTAGAGAATCCTCTGATATTTCCGAAATATCTGTTATGTTTGCATACAATTTTGAAAGACCAAATTCCGAGATGTTGTCCTCTAGTTGATCTTTCCATCGGATTCGTGGTCTTCCCCTTTTGCGTGAACCATCACTTGACTTGCTTTTATATGTCTTTTGGGTGGGAGATCCATTCTCCCAACATGACCTAGCCAACGTAGTCTTTCCGTCTGACTATGTCGATGTCCGAGAATAGATTGTATAGCTCATAGTTCATTCGACGACGATATTCACCTTCGACGCAAATCGGCCCATAGACCTTCCGCAGAATTTTTCTCTCAAATACTCCAAGAGCTTAAACACCTCTGAACGGATAGGGCTGTAAAATGCGGCTTTATAGTTGACGAATAGGTGGAATGTGTAGATGTGTTTTTCGTGGGTCCTCTCCAGGATTTGGCGCAGTGTGAAAATCTGGTCAATATTGGGATTGCCACACCTGAAGCCGCATTGGTATGGTCCAATAATGTCATTGACCATTGTCTTCAGTCGTTCACACAGCACGCTGGATAGCACTTTATATGCGTTGGGATGGAGTTGGCACATATCGTCTTGTCTCCTTTTTTGTGCATGGTACACAGGATGCTGAGGTTCCAATCATTGGGCATGTATTCCTCTAGCCAAATTGTACTAATCAGCTAGTGCCGGTCTTGAATAGTTCGACTGATAACTCATAGGCTTCTGCTGCTTTATTGTTTTTCAGCCGATTAATTGATATTCTGGCCTCATCTTGGCCAGGAGGTATACACTCTATATCGTCATCTCTTATTGGTTCTGCGGTATCTTTCTCATCGTCACTATTTGAGAAGCTTTGCAAAATGCTCCTTCCAGATCCTCAACACGCTATCTGTCACCAGGTTTCCTTCTTCATTTCTACAGGAATATGTGCCTGCACCAAAGCCTTCAGTTTGGTGTTTTACTCGTTGGTGAAATTTCCAGACTTCATTCTGACTCCTGAACATCTCGATTTGTTCACGCCCACGTTTTTCTTGTTCTTTCTCTTCTCTCTCCTTTTCTCCCGATAGTTATCCATCGCATTATATGTTGTTACTGTCTGCTAGGTTGCCATATACGGTGCTTTTTTCACTTCGGTAGCATTACGACATTCCTGATCGTACCATGGTGGTTTTTGGTACTCAAGTGTTGCTTTTTGCTGCATTGTACTTTTATACTATTATCAAGACAAAAAGTGCTTTCGTCAAGCAGTTGGGTAAGTTGAGCGGAGTAGGCTTCGGCTATCTGTTGTGTTTGCAGCTTTTTGACGTCGAGTTTCCGTGTTGTGTTGGATCGCACATTTGCTTCTACATTAAATCAGTGTGAACCTTGGCTGCTACAAGGCAGTGGTTCGAATCGATATTCCGACGGTTGGACCAATAATATTTCCCCCCTCCGATTTTTTCATTAAATTTTCCTACCAGAATTTTAATGTCATGGTCAGGGCAGCGGCCATATGCTGTTTCTGGGCGCTCCTAAAAGATGTCTTTGGTCTGCTCATCTTCGTCTTCGGCCGAAGCATGAGCGCAAATGAGACTTATGTAGAAGAACTTCGCTTTTATACGGATTATAGCAATTCGCTCATATTCTGGAGTGAATCGGGAAACGAGATCTTTTATTCTCCTGTGAACCATAAATGAATACTCTCAGAGCTATAAGCATGGAGCATTGTAGGAATGGTTTTGATGAACCATCAGAACTAAAAACGCAGATTATTTTCTTGGAGACATCAGGACTTCCAGAGCCATAGACGCGGATCAGGAGCATCAGAGCTCAAAGTATTTTTTAACGAATCTCAGAGCGACAAACATGGATTTTTAAAAACTTGAGGAATCCGTAATCGTCTGGCTTTTTCTGTAAGACAATAATATCAGCTGTGTATTTCTTGAGTACATCCTCCAAAGCGAAAACTGCGCTTGTTTTGTACAATCTGCACATTCCAAATGCAGATTCGCAGATCGTGGTCTTTTATACGTTTGCGGGGGTTGTATTTTTCATAGCTTTTTCTTAGTAGGTTGGGGTTTCCGAGTGTGGGCAACTAACCCGACATCTCAAACCATTTTTTTATAGTTCCTATGGGTGAACTCGCGGCACACATCAGCTCTCTATTTTAACGGGTGATGAAAATAACTACCCCTGGTGACACCGTGGGAAGGTCAGTGTCCACAATTGAGATGAAAGAGGGACCAAGATAAGCCCGGACTACGCCATGTTAAAGCCAATCAGAGCCGTTACTTGGTATCTATCATTCCCTACGCCAATAGTTTTCCTAATTTCAGAGTCGTGTAACCTTTCATAAGAAATGATGACTTTCATGACTCGGCTTCCCGCCTTCGGAGTAGAGGTCACTGTTACCTCTTTCCATAGACTAGGTATGTACGATAAGAGCAGACATGCCCTAAAAATGTCCTGCAGAGTGGCCAGTACTCGTTCATCCGCATGTTGCAGCATGGCCGGTATTATACCGTCTGGGCATTGGGGTTTGTAGGGTTGAAGACTATTTAGTGCCCATGCCAGTTTTAGGTAGCTTATAGTATTTTCGATCAACTTCTCCTCATCTCTGGTTCATTATGGTCCTTACAACCAGGGCTGATGATAGACTATCAAGAGCCTCTCAACCAGAGTTTGTCCACGTCCTTCGCTTCGTTTAATACTACCAATAGATTTTGGATCTTTCGATATTACTCTGCAAAAACTGCCCGCTTCGTTAACTCATTCGATTGACTCACTATAGCAGACCCAAGACTCACCTTTAGCCTTCTTGATTTCATTCTTGCACCTATTGAACTGTTCTATATAAACGTCCCAATCTGTACTATGTTTCGTCTTACTAGCTTTATTATATGCTTTCCTTGCAGCCTTCCTCAACGATGCGAGGTTTTGTGACCACCATATTGGCTAAGATCTCTTCCCAGGGTATGTTAAAGGACAGGAAGCCTTATAGCTCTTCAGAAAGATATCCGTGACATTGTTCACAGCTTTCTCAACATCCTCAATCGTTATGAGATCTTTATGACCTAGGATTAAGGATACTGTTTTAGCTTTGAATTTGTGCCAGTTCGTCTTCCGATGATTCCTATAAGGATTCTGTTTCCCTCTGGAGATAGGAATCTGGAAAAAGGAGTCAGTAGCACAACTGTCAAATCTGCCCTCTCAATTCATTCTTTTTTGTAGAAATTATTTAGTAAACGAACGAATCTATTGTCTCACTTAGGGAATGTTCCAATTCGAAAGTTAAAATGCGAAGAAATTCTCCCTGAAAAAAAAGAAAATGAATTAGAATGTGGTAATAATTAATAAATTACACGATTCTTTTTTTTTTTGTATTAAAATAAAAAAAATATGTTTTGTTCGTTTTTCTAACACTGAATGTTTGTTTGCACGATGTGTTTAATGCCCCCTAAATTTAAATCACACAATGCTTTTTATTTGAAATTTGAAAGTGTATGTAGTTTGTTTTGAAGTAGAGACAAGTTTTCAATGTTGCTTTTGTTTATTTAACAATAAAAGTAAACAATTATATTTTTATTTTATTTTTTATGACAACTTTTTGTGTACATGTTACTAATATCAATATTGTGTTCTTTTTGGAAATCTACACTTGGATGTGTTTAACGAACACTCACAACTATAGCACGTTCCATATACTGCTATGAATGTGACTCGTGGACAGATGCCCGATGCAAGGATCCATTTAATTACACGGCATTGCCTAGAGATCAGCCACCGTTGATGACATGTAACGGCTGTTGTGTGAAAATGGTGCGACACTCGAAATCACGTAAGTTGGATAATTTTTTTTGTTGGGTTTTTTAATATAACTAAATTTCGAATTTAATCGCCCATGTGCTGTATTTCGAATTTGCTCGAATGTGAAACATTTTCCCACATTTGGTGTGCTCCATTCCGAATACGCAAAAAATATAGGGAATATAATTCGAGGGCATGAATCCTTGTGAAGCGAAAAAGAATTGAGATTGTTCGTGCTTTCCAGAGTACATACAAGTTAAAAAGGGATACAGAGTTAATATTTAACATAGACATAACATAATCTAGACATCCGAGAAGAACAATAATCAACACTGCATCCAATTTCATAAATAGAGTTTTAGACATAAGCCATCCAGACTATCACAACAAAAACATTAATATAATTAAGAAGATCCTGAAGAAAAATGATTTTCCGGACAAAACTATTGACAATCTCATGATACGAGCAAGAAAAGAAAAGACAAAGAAAACAAGCGATAACAGTGAGAAAATTTACAAAACTATGACATATACACGTGGGTTTTCAGAAAGATTAAAACATTCTAACATTTACGACAACACAAAATTTGAGCTGGCATTTAAAACTACAAACACGCTGAATAATCTTTTCAGCTAATTAAAAAGTAAAATACAAGACGAGGAGAAATTCAACGTAGTATACCGCATTAAATGTAAGGGAGACAAGTCCAACGTATGCCAAAAGGTATATGTTGGCACTACTAAGACAAAATTAAAGACAAGAATATCCGCACATAAATCGGATCAAAAAGCTCTGTACAAACCCATAGAGCAAAAAACAGCTCTTGCAGCACACTGCACAAAAACAGGACATACCCCAGATTTTAATGACATAAACATTCTTATTCAAGAAAGTAATTATCAAAAAAAAGGTTTACAGGTTGCACATAATCAACACTCCACTTGGCACTTGACTCCATTACAAAACCGACACAGACAACTGCGCTCAAATCTATAGACACACAGTAAACAAATACAAATCTGTTAGACTTTAGTTGAAGTAAGAACGTTGACTTAAAGACAACATAACTTTCTTCAAGTAAGTTTATTTACATATTGTTATTGTTGTTTCAAATACAAATATATGTAATTGTAGTTCCCTGAGGATGATTGGAGATTCCAATCGAAATATTGGAAACAATAAATATTAAACATCAAAATTAAAAACGATTTTTACTTTTAAAAAGCCTACAGCCGAACTAATACAACAAAGATATTTTACATATTTTTACAATATTTAATTAAAAAAAAACAGTATTCAGATTAGCTTTTCTAGTCAAATTAAAGAAAATAAAATGACTGCTTTTATTAAGGAAATCGTGTGATTGATTTTATTGCCCCTCGCCGTCCCATTTGTCAACATCGATGATGCTGTGGATTTTTTCTGTGACGATGAGCCCGTTGCTGACTTGGATGGTGAGGCCGACAAAATGTCCGTGAATTAGAGCTGTAAAAAAATCAATGGCAATGTCGATAGTATCGATTCTTTTTTAAAAATTGAATATCGATTGATAGTTTTGGCTATCGATATTATCGGACAAATTAACATAGGTTATGTTTTGCCAATACGCCAATATAATTTGCGCGCCTCTTCGACTTTGTGTTTGTGAAAAAAAGTACTGTAAAATACGTATTTTTGGCAAAAAAAAATAAATTTAATAAATATGTAGTTATAATACTGTCCACATTAAATACGCATTGACCCGTAAAAGTATTATCCAAAACCGAACATTATAAATTTTCTTAAAAGCACGTACATTTTTCAGAAGCGCGAAAAAATTCCAAATTCCAACAATATTCAAACCACTGACTGTGGTTCTCTTTGAAGCAGGGGCAGCTGATATTTACTTTCATATACCATTCCACGTATGAGTTAAGATGAATTATGTGATTTATTTTCAGATGAGATTTGCGACACAACCAAATGTTCAAAACCAGGAAAAAATCTACAATGTGTTACAAAAATTAATAATATCATCGCTTTAACTAAAGTCAAAAACATACATACCTTCCATTTTGTATTTGTCGATTCGGCATTTGCTTTTTGAATCAATAGTGCTGCGCCTTTGTGGTTTTATTAATATATTGTTTCTTTTTAATAGTTTGTTTGTTTCTTCTTTATATTTCTGCAAAATTTCAACAGACACAAAAAATTTCAAACCGCTAATATCGATAGCAATCGATAGTTTGAAATAAAATATCGGAACTATCTAATGTTTGGAATATCCATGGCCTATAAATAAGGTCACCAAGATAGCAATCGAAATCGGAAAACAGCTGTTTTTTCTCAAGTCTAATGTCAAAAATTTTGACTTTGTTTACGTTTTCATAATGGAAGTCAATTCACAATAATGCATTTTGACAGCAAACTTGAGAGGTATCGATAATCAGCTGGTCTCCCTTTATAGGCCATGGGAATATCGATATTTTTACAGCTCTATCGTGGATTATGTACTGGCTGTCTTTGTATCAGGGAATGTCGATATCAGCTTGTTCCCAAAGTCACTGTTAGCCATACCCATTATACTGCCGCCAGCTTCGCCGCGTAATGATTGTTAGAATTTTGTGACCTCGATATGGAAGACAAGACAGATTGTTTTTAGAACAATACATTCACACGTGCAGCAAACGTTTACGATTTCCACAATATCATTAGCCTACTTCTAGAAGAACTAGGGCAATTATCAAGCCAGCAAGCATTTTTTTTTTTGATAGTTAGTGAACACAATGCGTAACATATTGAACAAAGCTAATCTTTCGAGCCGCACTTTCGATCGAAATTGAGCACACCATTTTCCACAAAATGAGAATCTAAAAAAAAGTATGGGAATTCAAAAACTTTCGGAACATGTCACATGGGCGAATATAATGATTTTCAATAATATGAATTTTATTTGTTTTTCTTTCCATTTTCCAGCCTACGAAGTTGTTAGACGCATGTGTACGTCACAACTACAAATAAATTTATTTATGGTCGATCATGTGTGCATGATGGAAAGTTCAGGCAATGGACATATGTGCTTTTGTGAGGAAGATATGTGCAATTCTAGTAAAAATTTATACACATCATCTAACATACCTTACATTATCGCCACATTAATGACATTCTTAGTAGTGCTAAATACACATTTAGGAACATCACAATTCCTTCTCCTACTATCATCATCCGTTTCTACTATTTTTCAAACATTATGGTCGTCATCATGGTTAATAATCTCCTACTTCTTCTACTTCTTATCAACATCATTAATTGCATCGATTTTGAATAAGAAAACTCAAAATACTACTCCAACAACAACAACAACCAAAATAACAACAACATCCTCCACATTTACTAATAATCGAATAACATCTATAACTAATACTATTACAACTGCTACCACTACTACTACTATTTCAACTTCCTTTTATGATCCTCCTCTTCCTGTTAATCACAGATAAATATGTAGTTCGAAAACCAGCAAGAAAAAAAACCAAATCCCAAAAAAAAATCGTTTAGTACATATTTAGTACATTATTACTAACTTATTAATTAATGGCAATTTGCATACTTACATACCTACATACATATTAATCAAAAGTAGTTGTGTTTTGAATTCTTAGTTACAATACACATACAATCATCTTAAAAAAATACAATACAAAACAACAAAAACACATGAATTATAAACACTACACAAACACACACACACACTGAGACACATAGTTTTACTTGTTAATGCTAAATTATTAAATAATTAATTAAAAATTAGTATCCCAAACTACCAGTGATTTTTTCTCAAATGTAATTTATATTATGAAATGTCAATTTATAAAGGAATATCAGAGTCAAACTTGAATTTGGACGCCGTTCACCTTTAATCTTTTACAATAAAAGCAGCCAAATAAACATGTCAATCCTGAAGTCCTCTTATCTGTTTCCCCCTTAAAACAGATTTCAAAATTTCAACTTCCAAAGATGTCAATATTCCAAAATCACAATATAAATTACATTTGAAAAAAAAGTGGCCTATTAGTTTTCGAATCGAAAATTCTTATTTAGAATTTTTTTAATTTATTTTTAGTTATAACTTTCCCCCAATTTATTTTATTTTTTGTAGACTTTGTAGTAATGCTAAAGACATTAAAAAATAAACACCTGAATAATGTTTAATCTTAATTCTAAATAATAATAATAAAAAACAAATATTTGTTATTAGTTGTGTACTTGTATAAACAATTTTGAAATTTCCTAATTTATTATTAAATTTATTTTCCTTAAAGTAGTGAATTGTTTTCATTAAACGCTCCTTATTCTCCACTCAACTTGTTTGCTATTGACATTTAAGTATTTGATTTGCTTTACTCACAGCTGTTGAGAAATGTCATAAAGAGTATTGAATACATTTACACTGGGCATGTTTTATGAAATTCATCACTTATTTGACATTTATACAAAGGAAATGTCTTTTATAATTAAAGCGTGTTTACATACATGAGTAAATCCTCAATCAGGGCAAGGTGTATTTAATAAGGTGTATGCATCAGATACAACATATCTTACAAAAACAACATTGGCTTCAAATTTTGCCTTCTTAAAGAAAATTGTATGTCCTTCAATTTCTATCCCCGGCCAAAGACTAAATCATGGAAATTGTGTTAACCGTATAAAATCTTTCTATAGGCGTATTTAACCTCCGCCGAGGATTGCGACAAGCACCAAGGGGCCGATTCCAATATAGGCTAACATAATCTCCTCGATTTCATGAGTAGCTGGGATTTATGGACAGATTTCCACACATAACATAAAATATGTGGACCAATCGGCGAACGGGGTTATAACTGATTTAAGCATAGGTTTCCTTTCCGTCCGCCTCAATGAATATATTTTCTTTAATTTTTATTATTAAAAAATACTACATTTAAAGACCATTTTTGAAATCGAAATGTAATATTGGAAATGTTTTTGAGAATTTACTTTACAAACAATAAGGAAAAAAGTTTGAAACCATATGATAAATACGCCTTGAATCAGTGTTTATTTTCTTAATCATGTGCAAATTTGTTTACAAACAAACATCAGCTGATTGTCATTTAGGTCATGGTCAAAGTCATGATGCATAAATAAGGTGATGTAGCAATAAATTGGTATTTTAACCGACCATCTGTCAAATTTTATCTAGTAATATTTCTCATGGTTGGCAACATTTGCACATCGAATTCAAGTAGAAACATAGTACAATAATAACATGGCACAATGAATAGGTAGTCCATTTAGAGCAGCTGATGTCTTGATTAACTGTCAAAGTGAGTAATTTCTACTTGTATTCGATCTGCAATGTTGCCAACCATGTTAAATATTATATGGAAAAATTTGACAGATAATCGAGACAAAAACAAAGGTTTTTGTTTTGATACATCACCTTGTTATTGCATCATGAATAATAAGGTGATGTATCAAAACATAGATCTTTGTTTTTGTCTCGACCATCTGTAAAATTTTTCCTTATAATATTTCATATGGCTGGCAACATTGCACATCGAATTCAAGTAGAAATTACGCACATTGACAGGTAAATGGACTACCTGTTTACTGTGCCATGAGTAGAAACAACGCACTTTTTGCAGTTAATCGAGCAGTCAGCTGCGCTAAATGCACTACCTATTTATGGTGCTATGTTCAAAGGTATGAGTAACCTGTTAGAGCGCATTTAGACTAATTAATCCACTCGATTTCAAATGCCATTTCCATAGCGTATACGTCAACTTAATCAAATATATTTCTCTGTTCCAGTACTTTTTTAATAGTAAAACTAGGGAAACATTTCAAAATCGCTCACAGAGTACAAAATAATTTGAAATGTTCGGGAACGCAAATCTAGTAAATATGCCAAAAATAGATGCAATACTTCAAAATCAACATAACAGCCAATCAGGTGTAGGCATTCCTGTTTACCATTTTTACTCGGCCAAATTTCTCGATTAAAAAGTTTACAAAGAGAACGCCATTTCTCAAGAATTGATCATGATTGTTACAACTTATATTTATAAGTTTTAGAGGCAGGGAACTTCAAAATATTTAGAAATTATATGCGTACATTTCGAAGGATTTCGATAGTTGAATGATATCAAAGGCTAATTTATAGAAAAAGTAGAAACATATAAATTTAAACGCACTTTTAAGACATATTTCTGCGTTTCCTTAAGCGAGTTGAATTAAAATCGGTTATGTGAATAACCTTAAGACGAGTACACACTATCAGTTTGGTCTGTCAGCTTTTGAAATTTTCAAGAGGAACAATGTACTTCATGGCTTTAATTCCCCAAATGGTACACCAACAAAACAGCTGATTATTATGTCTGCTGTTAAGGCTCGTTATTGTAATTGGAGTTCTCAACATATGTTCTGTTCCCGTACTACAAGAATCTATCAAATTTTACTATTTGTTTCCGATAACATAAAGAAAAAATAGATATCGTAGTAAAAAAGTTTACGATTTTCTTGCTGGTTCTGAAGAAGACCAATAAATTGATATTGAATGTTAAAGCTCGTTTAGACTTACGATTTCTTTAATCGAGTCGATTTAAAAATGTATGTATTTATTTTTGAATTTCCAGTGAGTTTAAATTTTCAATTCCATTGTATAAATGTCAAATAAATCCTCACAATATGGTTAACCTTCAAATGCAAATGCCATTTTAATAAAAAAGGTGTAATTTAAATTGTCACACCATTGTTATAAATGTCAAATAATTGTCATAATTGCTTGAAGGAACAATAGCATAAATCCATATTATTATATATAGATGTAGAATAGATCCCTATCATATCAATAATAAATTTTGCAAATACTCTTTATGACATTTCCAATACTCTTATGCAACTCACAGTTGTTTCAAATTTTCAATAATATTCATTACACATTTTTTTCGATTAAGAAAAAATTCAATTACAAGAAACAAACACCAATTTGTTATTTGACAGCAAAATAAAACAAAAAGTAGTAAAAAAGCAAAAAAAAAATTCTATATAAAGAATGTTGCAAAACAAAATTTATTTTCTTTTTAATTTATTTTTATTTAATACCAAAAAAAAAAAAAAAAACAAAATAAAAAAATATAAAATATTTGATATTAAAAAACAAAGCAAAGAAAAAACATATATTTACAACATAAAAAAGAAAAGAAAAAAACCACAAACAGAGGCTTTAAAAGTTTTGTGCATGTATTTGTAATTTGTTAATTAATATTTTTTTAATTTATTTATTGTTATTATAAATGTAAGGCATGTATAAAATATACGACAAAATGAAACAAAAAATAATAAAAAAATAAGCATAAATATAAAAAAACACAGAAAAAGGAACAGAAAAATTTTAAATAAATAATTCATTGCTTGTATAAGTAAAAATAAATCTAAATATAATTATTATTGAAGACAACATGAAATATTAAAAAAAATCTCATACTGAAAATAATTTTTAATAATATTTGCTCATTATTTTTTTTTATTTTTATGTCATATCATCCAAAAAAATATGTTTAAGTGGAATATTTTATTTTATCTCCAAGGAACGCGATTTGCGGGTTTATAGGGTTTGCGGCTGATCCACACATGTTTTCTAATAAAATGTATTTGTTTAATATGAAAAGTTCGTAATTTTTAATTAGAAATATTTGGTTTTGAAAAATATGTCATTTATTTTTGTTTTGAATCAGAAAACATTTTTAAATTTTCATAAAAAGGTTTGTTATCGTAAGTCAAAAATTGTACATTTTGAATTTTATAAAAACAGGCTGTTAATATGAAAAGTTCGTAATTTTTTATTAGAAATATTTTTGGTTTGCACTGCAAGGATCTACTGCAAGGATCTACTGCTATTATGTTTACATTGTACGGGATTTCGTTAACCCAGTGGGTTTATCTTGTAAACTCCATGGCAAATTAATAGTACGTTTACATTATACCGGATTTCGTTAACCCAGTGGGTTTCAATTGTCAATTCCATTGTATACACGTCAAATAAATCCTCCCAAAGTAGGTTAACCCGGAAAAAAGTCCTAATGTATATGCCGTTGCATTCATTCAGAAATATCAAATACCTTATGCTTTTATGTAATAGTACGTTTACATTGTACTGGATTTATAAAAATGTTATAATCTAAATGACGTCTAAGAAACGTCCTTGGACTTCTTTACGAAGCGTTCATACCGTTCTTTAAGAAATGTTTATGCTTTTCTTTCAAAAACTTCTCTTTGAAACGTTTACATAATTCCTTAAATAAATGTTCATAGTTCTTCTTAAAATATCACAAAATTTCTCTAAGAAAAGTTCATATATTTTAGACATCTCTTTTCGATAAGTTCATACATTTCTTTAGGAACATATTTCTTCAAACATTAAAGAGAAAATTACGTCTAGTCTATTAATAAGGTCACCCGACAAGCGAAAGTCAGCTGTTTTTTCTCAAGTCCAACGTCAAAATATTGGTCTTTGTTTATGTTTTCATAATGGAAGTCAATTCTAAATAATGGATTTGGCAGGAAAACTTTAGAAGCAGCTGATATCCCTGAATGACCTTATTAGTAGGCCTTGACACATATACCATATACGTCATGATTTATATTAGGCGAGTTTACTTGCGGCAATTCTTATCGTTCTCTTTTGAACTTGCTTCCTGCGTCTATACAAGGCAATTTGGTTGCAAACATATATATATACTTCATACATAACTCTTTAATAAAAAAAACATCGACAAAAAAATTCTTAGTCCCAAATGCCCTAGTTAGGTCTGTACTCTACTAATTAAGAGTTTCTAATTTTGTAGGCATCATTCCCATATAATTTCAGCGACAAAATTTATATAATGGACATACATAGGAATATAGATTAACTGGTTTTATCCTGAGCTAATTATCACAAATTTGATACCTTTATTTCGTGATATGCAATATATTTAATTAATATTTAAAAATTATTATATGTATATGAAATTGAATGATAATTTATCAAAAAAGTCTGACATCTCCAAAAATTTAAGACATAAACAAAGTTCTATTAATAAGGACATCCAACAAGCGAAAGTCAGCTGTTTTTTCTCAAGTCTAATGTCAAATATTTGCACTTTGTTTACATTTTTTGACAATGGAACTCAATTCACCATAATGGATTTTGACAGCCAACTTGAGAAGCAGCTGGTATCCCCGATTGACCGTATTAATAGGCCTTGGCGTAAACGTAGAAGAAATTTATAAGAATTGTTTGTCGTGGCTATAATTTCACAAATTTATAGTCCACCAACAAAAACAGCTGATTATTCTATCAGCTGTTAAGATTTCACAAAAAGCTCAAAGGTCAACAACGCCTTAAATTTCTTCCCTACGGACCTTGACAATGCATATTTCAAACGATATAAATTGAAAATATTTTCTTTTTATATTTTTGAAAACATTACACACAGTTTGTATATGGCTTTGACATAACAAGTCACAACAAGAAAACATTGTAATGTCTAAGTAGCTTTAGGCTACTTTATATTATTGTACCATGGAATTCTTTTTGAAAACTTTTTAATGGACCAATTTATCAGAGAAGAAAATTTTGTTAGGAATCAGGCAAGGCCCAATAAACAAATAGTATAAGAAGCGAATTTTTATCGGCCATTTTGATAGAACATCCCACAAAATGTCAAATTGTTTGTTTGACAGCTCGTATGAAATCATCTGGCCCTACCGGACAACCTTAT